AGTGCCACCTCGGGGAAACTTGAGGTTTGGTTTTAGTTGTACGGATTGCTTATCCGGTGTGCCCTGAGAACGAGATATGTGCAGCTTCTATCGGGATTTGTCGGCATTCGGGTGGCTTTGCTGGTCTTGTTTTACCATTGTCGAAATGTCTTGTAACCGGGATTCCGAGTCTGATCGGGTCTTCCTGGGAGAAGGAATATCCTTCGTTGACCGTGAGAGCTTGTGATGGGCTAAGTTGGGACACCCCTGCAGGGTTTCGAACTTTCGAAAACCGTGCCCACGGTTATGGGCGGATGGGACTTTGTTAATATCCGGTTGTAGAAAACTTGACACTTAACTTAATTAAAATGAATCAACCGCGTGTGTAGCCGTGATGGTCTCTTTTCGGAGGAGTCTGGGAAGAGAACACGGTCTCGTGTTATGCTTGAACGTAAGTAGCTTTCAGGATGACTTCTTGATCACTATTAGCTTCTCGACCGTGCTTTGCTTCTCTTCTCGCTCTCTTTTGCATAAGTTAGCCACCATATATGCTAGTGCTTGCTGCAGCTCCACCTCACTACCATTTTCCTCCCTTTAAGCTTAAATAGTCTTGATCGTGAGGGTGTGAGATTGTTGAGTCCCCGTGACTCACAGATACTTCCAAACAGATGCAGGTGCCAGTGATGCCAGTGCAGGGGACGCTACCGAACTCAAGTGGGAGTTCGACGAGGATTCGGGCCGTTACTATGTTTCTTTTCCGGATGATCAGTAGAGGAGCCCAGTTGGGGCGATCGGGGATCTAGCATTTAGGGTTGTCTTTCTTTATTTTGGTTCCGTAGTCGGACCTTGATTGTATTCTGGATTATGTATGATATATTTATGTATTGTGTGAAGTGGCGATTGTAAGCCAACTCTTTATCCCTTTCTTATTCAGTACATGAGATGTGTAAAGATTACCCCTCTTGCGACATGCCTACCATGCGGTTATGCCTCTAAGTCGTGCCCCGACACGTGGGAAATATAGCCGCGTCGTGGGTGTTACACCTGGGTAGAATTCTAGATCGACACGACGGTGACCTCGCTATAGATATATCAGGCGGCTATATTCGTGGACTTAGGAGATGGTGTTGACTGCCTCTTTTGGGAGGACCGGAGGCTCGATGGGTGGAGGCTACAGGAGATCACACCCTTGGTTTACGCGAAGATCCAGCCCCGATTCAAGGTCTCATGATCGGTGACGGAGGCAGCAGGGGGTGCCTGGACGAGAGATCTCGGCCCATACCTATCTCAACCAGAGCTCGAGCAGTTCCTTGCATTGTGGAACAGGGTTACGGAGGTGCAACTGCATCCGGGGATTGCGGACAGGGTCCGCTGGGCTTGGAGACATCCAACATGTTCTCGGTGCGATCGGCGTATGCCAGTAGGTTCACAGGTCGCGAGCATGATTTAGGAGCTAGGAGCTAGCTTCACTTGGCACTCCAGGGCTCCGTTGCGTTGCAAACTCTTCAGCTGGCTAATCCTCAAGGATCGGGTTTGGACCTCTGATCGGTTGGCGCGACATGGCTTGCCCCATCAGGAGACATGTCCCTTGTGCAGCCAGGAGCACGAGTCCATCGACCATCTGCTCATTGCATGCGTTTTCGCCCGCTCCGTGTGGTTCAAGGTGCTCTCGGCCTTGGGTTAGGAGGACCGGTCTCCGACATCGGACAATCGGTTGTTACATTGGTGCACGGTGCTCGCCTCGGGCCAACAGAACAGGAAGGACCTCAACACCCTCGCGATGTTGGTCCTTTGGGAGATGTGGAAGCACCGAAATGCGGTCGTTTTCGATAAGGACTCTCCGTCGCTGCAGGATGTTCAACGGCTCATCGTGAACATGGGGAGGGAATGGGTTCTTGCAGGGTTCTTCCATAGCGACATTTTTCTTTTCTTTTTTTTCTCGAATACGCACGAGTGTGTGTACTATATTATGAAGAGCCCCTCCATGATAATGTTACAAGATTTTACATGGACACCATCACCACCTCTACTCTCTACTCTCTACTCCTATGCTAACTTGCCGCACTAGCCCACTCTTCCACCGTGTTGAAGAAAGCGCTAAGGTCTCCTTTTAGTAATCCTGCTTGCTTCCAAGTGCGCCCCTCCTTCGTGATCCTACGGATGACATAGTTCTTCGATTGTGTAGCTCCCTCGAATACAATTGCATTGCGATGTTTCCAAATCTCCCACATGACTAGAATGAATAAAGCATTGATTGTCCTGTTTTGTTTTCTACTGGCGCTTTTGTTTGCGCATCATTCTGAGAGTGTCGTCTACTGTTGGCACCCAGTCTGGCTTGCCCAAAGAATGAAGCATCGCTGTCCAAATCTGACGTGCAAATACGCAGTGTAGCAGATGGTGGCCTATGTTTTCTTCCTCTGGTTGCAAAGCGGGCATTGGTCCTGATGGTCCAGTCCTCACCGTGATAGACGGTTAGTAGACGAACGGATGAGCGCGGAGACGTAGCTTTTTTTTCTGGCCTCTAGCCTTTGCCCGTACTCGGACTGTAACCATGTAACTATGTGGACTCTATCAACAGATGATACGCATACTCATGCGTATTCTAAAGAAAATATCTGATTATTTCTCAGACAAGTATTTACGGACTGGGAGTATCGTACAGTGTGTCCGTTTTGCGTCGCGGCGTTGGAAATGGCTAGCCCAAACAAACAGGCAGGGCCGTGTGAATCGGAGAGACGTGCCGCCGTCACTCGAGATGAAATCTGCGACACGAGTGGGAGACGCCGATGTCACGCGGTGACGGGACGGGACAGCCTTCCTCCCACATCTCTTTGCTCACCCTTAGCCGCCAGGCCAGCGACTTGCGCGTCCTTTCCCGTTGCGACGCACTTCCCTTCCCGTGTGGCACCGCGGAAACCTAAAAGCAATTTTAATGGAGGCGACTCATTTTGTCTGCGGCCGTTTGTTCGGGTTAGGGCGGATCAAAAAGCCGGCCCAACGCATCGACTTAAACGGACGTACGTCCGCTTTCGTCCGTCTACCGACTCATTTCCGGTATATTTTTAAGTCTGATTTACGTCGGCGTGGACACAAGACGGACGCGCGCGCTCGTTCTTTTTTCTTATCGGGTCCGCTAGTCGGTGGTACATTGGATTCAACCCTCGCTCGCCTGCTACGTCGCCAACGCCGCCGGCCATTTTTTCAGATGAAAATGGATAAATAGATAATTCTAGCGTACACATATAAAAAGAAAAGACCACTGCTTGTCGATTTCTGACTCCGACTCGGTAATATCCTCCTTCGACGTCTGAATATAGGCGTCAACATACGCCTCGTCTTCAAAGTCCCAACCCGTCGTTTCTTGTAGCTTCAGTTTCAATTGAGCTGCCTGCTTCCGCGAATGCTTGTCCTTCCGATAGGCGGCTCGTTCCCTCATTCTCGTGTCCCTCTCCAACCTTCTTTGCTTGTAGAACTGGCGCTCGTCGACATGTCCTGCGGGAAGCCTCCGCCACACCACCAAGGCTTCCACGTCCTTCTCCGCGATGGCGAGGCGACGCTGCCGTCTCCGGTGGACACGACGATTCTCGTCGGTGAGAAGCCGCGGGAGAGGCGCCAGATCATGCGCCCGCTTGGCTCGACACGTTGGGAAAATTCATATCCCGACGAGGCCTCAGGAGGCGCCACGCTGCCGCGTCGTGCGCGCGGGCCGCCTCCTCTGCGGTGTCGAAGGCGCCGAGGATGAGACGTTTCTCATGAAACCAGATCTCGAAGGAGAAGGCGCCGGAGCGGCGCTCGCGGACTCCGCGAAAATCCGAAGCGCCCAGGCGGCGGATTGACATGGTGGCGCAGAGACGGCGAGAGTGGGCGGCGAGTAGAGGCGGCGGGAGTGGGCGGCGAGCAGAGGCGACGGGAATGGGCGGCGGACAGAGTGTGGAAGGAGCGTCTTCTTTATAACGAGCGCGACCGCGGCGCGCGCGCGAACCTTTCCCGCGCGCTGGAGCGCCAAAACCAGCGCGCTAGGCCGCCCCCCCGCGCGCGAACCTTTCCCGCGCGCTGGGGCGCCAAAACCAAGGCGACGGCATGATCTAAAACGCGCCCGGTCATGAAATGGGTCGGCCCGTTGGGCGCACTGGCAACCAAAAATTAAAAGAGGGCGGACAGCGGGCGGGCGGCCGACCCAAACGAACAAAAAACGGACAAAAACGCCGTCCATTTGGGTCGGCCCATTGGAGTTGCTCTAAGCGCCCGTGCGGCCGCGCCACGTCCAGTTCACTCGCGCGGACGAGACTTGCCTGCTCCTCCAGCGTGCGCCCATCCGTGCTCCCGCATACGTGGCATGATTTGATTGGAACAAAATAAGACCTGGCCCATCGCTTGAAATCAGGAGGAGATGATTAGATTAAAAATAAAAAAAAATAAAAAGACAGCCATAGGATAGAGTGGGAGCACGGATGGGAGCATGAAGAGGGAGCAGGCAAGCCGGATCCGCCGGCTTGCCTGCTCCCTTCCCATCTCATCCGTGCTCCCACTTCATCCTACGGTTGTTTTTTTTTTCTTTTTTTCTTTCTAGTCTAATCATCTCCTCCACCGATTTTAAGGAATGGGACGATTTTTATTTTGTTCCAATCAAATCAAGACACAGACACGTATGACGTATGAGGGAGCACTCTTTTGCCGTCGCGCCAGACATCTCAATCGCGCGGTACGCGGGCCCCACGTGCCTCCCCGGCTGCTATTTTTGATTCCGCCCAGCCCAGCCCAGCCCAGGTGCACCCGCTCGGCGGTGCGTCCACGACCGGCGGGAATGGAGAACCTACACTACAGTGAGCAGTCGATGGGTACTGCACGGCTCCTGCGCGGCGCCCCTATATATGTGCACCGAGCTCAGTGTTCGATTCCCACACAGCCCACTCGCAGCAGCAGTAGTGCAGTACCACTACCTACCAGCGCACACCAATCCAGCTGATTTCGAGCACGACCAGCTCTTGCCCATCAGCCACCGTCGTCGGTTACTGTCGTCCATGGCCATGAAAAACGCGACGCAGCAGGTGGTCCGGGCCTTGGAGTCGTCCCTCACCAGGAGCCTTCATGTAACGTTATTTTCCTTACTTATCACTAGCCTCTAGATGCGTCTTGACACTTTTGACAATGCACACGTGAATTGTCGATCATGTTAAAAATGTGCTAGCGGTGGGTTCATCTCTGTTTTGTTTACGTTGTCCAGGCGTCCCCGGGCAGCAAGAAGATCGTGGGCGTGTTCTACAAGGGCGGCGAGTACGCGGGGCAGAACCCCAACTTCGTGGGGTGCGTGGAGAACGCGCTGGGCATCCGCAGCTGGCTCGAGTCGCAGGGCCACCAGTACATCGTCACCGACGACAAGGACGGCCCCAACTGCGGTCAGTCACCACGTACTACCACGGCTACAACATTACGTTACGTGCCACTATCACTAACGGAAACCGTTTGCACGCAGAGCTGGAGAAGCACATCGCGGACGCGCACGTGCTCATCACCACGCCGTTCCACCCGGCGTACGTGAGCGCGGACCGGATCAGGCGCGGCAAGAACCTGGAGCTGCTCCTCACGGCCGGGATCGGCTCCGACCACATCGAGCTGCCGGCGGCGGCGGCCGCGGGGCTCACCGTGGCCGAGGTCACGGGCAGCAACACGGTATCGGTGGCGGAGGACCAGCTGATGCGCATCCTGGTCCTCATGCGCAACTTCCTGCCGGGCCACCACCAGGCCATCAGCGGGGAGTGGACCTCGCCGGCATCGCGCACCGGGCCTACGACCTGGAGGGCAAGACGGTGGGCACCGTCGGCGCCGGCCGCATCGGGAAGCTGCTGCTCCAGCGCCTCAAGCCCTTCGGCTGCAACCTGCTCTACCACGACAGGCTCCGCGTCGACGCCGCGCTCGAGGAGGAGCTCGGCGCCGCCTTCGAGGAGGACCTCGACGCCATGCTGCCCAAGTGCGACGTCGTCGTGCTCAACATGCCGCTCACCGAGAAGACAAAGTAAATAAATCACTACGAGAACCAACTTGATCGCCAGCGTATATTTTGTCCATCTTGTGATTGCTTCTCTCTTTGTTTGTTCTTTTTCCAGGGGCATGTTCAACAAGGAGAAGATCGCCAAGATGAAGAAAGGCGTCATCATCGTGAACAATGCTCGTGGAGCGATCATGGATACTCAGGCAGTGGCAGACGCTTGCAAGAGTGGGCACATCGCTGGTAAGAACAGATGAACTCCGGTCTGCTCTCTCTCTCTCTCACACACACACACACATTCCTTCTGTACAAATATACACCCGCCATGCTCATCTTCAAATAACACTAACCAGTTTCAAAAAATGATCAGGATACGGCGGCGACGTGTGGTACCCGCAGCCGGCGCCCAAGGAGCACCCGTGGAGGTACATGCCCAACAACGCCATGACCCCGCACATCTCCGGCACCACCATCGACGGCCAGGTCAGTAGCACCACACAGCAAGCTCCAAGCCTCGCTAGTCGCTATGCTCCATGGCTAACCGGTAAACAATGTATGTGGTGCAGCTGAGGTACGCGGCCGGTTTGAAGGACATGCTGGAGAGGTACTTCAAGGGGCAGGACTTCCCGGAGCCCAACTACATTGTCAAGGAAGGCAAGCTCGCCAGCCAGTACCAGTGAGCGTCCATCCATGGAGCCGCAGCTGCACGCTTGCACCAAGTCCCCGACTCCCCGTGCCAGTTGCCAGAAACTAAATAAAGATGCTTGGCCGTTGTAATGGCCATCAGCCACAAATATATATACCTAAATAAAATGGAACAAAAACTGGTTGCTTTCATTTGCTATCAGCTTCCTTCACTGTATTTTTTTCCCCGATAAACTGTCCTTCACTGTATTTCGTTTGAAGTATAATAAAGTCAAAGTGTTGTGCAAAGGTTGTGTTGAACCTTGAAGAGTGCAGCTCCTCATGATATTGTACTGAAAAACCACTGCTAGAAGTAAGGTAAGATTATGGTAATGGCGTCTTTATTCACCATAGAACCTTCAACTTTCCAATGAGCAACCAAACAAGCAAGTATATATGTATGCCCAGACAGAAAGAAGCAACATCATTCAGGAACTCAACCTCTACAAAAAAGTCTTGCTCTGCACAGTAACTTTGCTGAAACAGAGTTTATGGCTAAATGGTTTGGACTACAGCACTAGCTAAACATAGATATTTTATTGAAAACTAACTGACCCTGGTTGGCTTGAAATCTGAAGAATGCACTTTACCGATGTTGGAGGGAAGCAGTGTCTACTTGATAGACTGCATCCAGTGTACTACAAGCCTAGTAATGGGTAGACACATACTCAATAAGCTCTTCACTGCTTCCATCAAAGTAAATCGTGGCAAATTCTCAAAGTTTGAGTGCTTTGAAGCCTTCCATTAGTGCATCAGTGTGCTCAGGCTTTCCAACTGAAATACGAATATAACCCTTCAGTTCCTTCTTGTCGTAGTGGCGAATCATCACTCCCATCTTTGCAAGATCCTCCTGCAAATATTTTTCACCAATTCAAGTGAATAAAGTTGCATGCCCTGTATTGTTCAATGGGACGTAAATTGCATATATTATTAAAAGTGTGAATAGCAATGATCTCGAATACAGATAACCCATATGGCAGTTCCAGGTTCTCAAAATTTTGTCACCTCAAAATCACAATTAAAGGGGCTATATTATCTCAATGAAATAAGGCAGAAACTTGGACAGTGCAATAATAAGCAAGCCATACCTTTATTTTCTTTGCATCTTTTCCTGACGTGACTTCACACAGAATGAAGTTAGCATGACTGGGAAATGGTTTCAGGTAAGGTATTCCTTTGAGAAGATTATACAGCCTCTCCCTCTCTTGTAGTAGCAGATTTTTCACGCTCTTGAAGAATGAAAGGTCCAACAGACGTATTAGCCAAGTTCAAATTTTCAAATAATGTTACATTTGAATTATCTTTGTGAAAGATGTACCTCCAAATAGACTGGGTTCTGCAAGGCAGCACATGCAGAGACTTCTGCTGCCACAGAAACATTATAAGGCTGCTTGGCCCGCCATAAGTACTCAATAATGCTTAGAGGAAATGCTCCATAACCCACACGAAGCCCAGCTAAACCTACATCACCAGTAATTCGTGAATAAATTCACTTCCTTCTGATTCTTCATAACACATAACCTTCATGTACACACTAAAACGATAGAACACAAATCACACACCTGCTCGTTTGCTGAATGTTCGGAGAACAATCAAATTATCATGCTTCTTAACCCATGTCATCCTTGATTGAAGGCTCGAAAACTCAACATATGCTTCATCCAGCACTACAAGTACCGGAAGGTCAAGGATCTTTAAAAGATCCTCGTCATTGATTACACTGACAAATAAAATTGAAATGATTTTTAAAACACTGCAATATGAACAATAAGCAAACAAATTGACACAAGTATTGAGTGGCAATGATATACCTGCCATCTGGGTTGTTAGGAGATGTCAAAAATATGCATTTTGGCTTCTCCTGTTCAACCATTTTGACAATGTTTGCGATGTCTAGGGAGAAATCAGGAAGTCTTGGGACTACAGCAAAGAACGATGAATGGCATATCAAATCAGGTTCAGAAATTAAATAAGGTTTAACCGATAAAAATCATGGAAGGTTTGATAAATAAAAGACCAAGAGATCATTAGCTACCTTTGATAACAAGTGCAGCATTGACTGAAGCATCAAACTCATACATGGTAAAAGTTGGAGGGCAATCTACAATTTTGTCGCCTGGTTCAAGTACACATCTGTATTGGCACCATTCATGATTACTCAACTTTGAGATGAAGATTTCAACAAAAAGCAGGTGCAAGATGAGCTACAAACTAACCTCATAATCAAATCAATTAGCTCATCGGCACCGCATCCAACAAGTATGTGCTCAGTTTCAAGCCCAGAATCTTCAGCGAGAGCAGCACGCAAATGGCGGCTTTCAGGATCAGGGTAGACATAAGGGAACTTTAAATTTCCTAATGCTGCAGCTACCTGTACAGATACAGGAATCCATTAGATACAGAAAAGGGGAAGGTATGGATTATCTTGGTGCTTTTGTTGCTCATATATAGATATGATATTTTCTGTTACAGACTCAAAAAGATATTTGATACTAGTATACTACTAATTTTTTTAATTGAACTTTAAGACTCACTCTAACAAAAGTAGAAATGTTGCTACTGAGATGTCATGTCCTTTGTGAATGCCCAAAGTACAACGCCATAGAGGTAAGCACTCATCGACGTATGGATTTAGACTACTCCGAATACGGGAATTGGAAGTACGCACCTCCGGTGGTGGACCATATGGATTTTCATTGGCGTCCAGCTTGATTATATCCTCTGGTTTACGCCCCAGCCGAGCAGATAGCACCTAGCAAGAGTTCCAATTTTCCAAATTGGTCAAACAACATGAAGGAATCGCAGATTACAACTTCGAAACTAAATTCAGCTAGCTGAGACGCCACAGGAGCTCGTTTTAAAACATTTCCTTCCCGAAGCACAAGCACGGCGCCGCGCGACATTTCCACAAGCACCTCGCAAGCGCAGCTAAAAGCGGAGCATCTTTCACTACACAGTAGAGGAGAGTCTAGGCGTCGGACGGATAGGGATACCTCGAAGGGCAGGATGGGCTGGTACGCGGCGAGGCTCCTGAGGTGGTGGCGGATGAAAGAGGCGCCGCTCGGCCGCGGCTCCGCCTCAGCCACCGCCGCCGCCGCGGGCTCCTCCACTGGAGTCGCGGACGCCATGCGCCGGAAGGAGACCCTGGACGCCTGGCGGCGCCGCCCCTCTCCGGAGAAGCGGGAGACGGCCGGCGACGGGCTCCTGACGCGGGCTCGGACGGTACAGTCCATCGACGGCGCGGCGCGGTTGGTTGGTGCCACGGACGGACGGCCGGCCGAGTGCAGCCGAGCGGAACGGAAAAGGACAGGCGGCGTTTCGGCCACGTGAGGGGACAAGTGGCAGAGGCCCGGCCACGCCTTTGCTGCGCTTTGAGATTCGTGCTGCCGCAGGAGACGCGGGCCCCGTTGCCTCTTGCCCGCCTAGTAGGGGGTTGGCCCCCTAGAGCATCTACACACACTTGCAAATCATGCTCTCTGTATACATTTTGGATTGTCGCATATCCACATTTGTAAATGTGGATTCTTAGATTCATGCACGTCGATCATACGATACAAACCATTTCAATTTAATCAATAGTTCGAAACAAACACGATAAAGCAACATAAATTATAGTTCAACAATCCGGCCATACCAAAACGAAATCAATGCTCGAGCGTGACGGATCACTTCCTGCACTCCATCCATGCCGCCTGCTCCTCCGCCATCCTTGCGCCCTGCCCCTCCTGCTATGCCTGCATCCTTGCCGCGTGCTTCATTGCTGCCATAGCCGACCTTGCCGTCTCATAGTACCTATCGTCGATGATCTTTTTTTTCTTCACAAGCCACTTCTTTGCATGCTCATCCAAGAACACCAATACGGGGTGTTCCGGCGTGGTTGAAACTCGGCGCACTACCTACCACGGGCAGTCATGGCACTTTATGACCAGCAACGGGGAGCCGACGAGCTGCTGGGCCAGTGCCGAGACCGGTCATGTCTTTGTTGATGAACCGCCGACAAGTGACGGAGTGAAATCCAAGCGATTAGAGGAGGAGGCCATACCTGCATGCGGCGCAGAGGCATTGCAGGGGCTATGCGATTTGGCACCCGGCCAATCCATGACAAAGACGCAATTGCCGGCCGCCGGGTGCGTCAAATCCGGCTGCGACATCAGCCGTAGATCTATCAATTTTGCACCGCGCACGGGGCGAGAGAGGCACAATTCCGGGTGGTTAAGGACCACTACGAAGCGTCCGCAGTGGCGAGTGGTAGCTGGCGGGGGCGGGAAGGATGAGGCCGGCGTAGATGCA